TTTTTTTTTTTTTTTTTTTTTTTTAGAATTAGAACTCATTCTCTTGTGAAGTCCACAGTGACTTCTGGAGCAAGATACTCAGTTTTACTTGTCAAATTATCATCCCTGTATGAAATTCCATTAAAGACATAGGGCACCCACTCATATAGAAAATTTTGCAGGAATGGAACATTAGCTACCTTTTTTCCCTGATTTTTTTAAATAAGAGATTAAATTAATTTAATGAGGAATAGCAGACTTTTTGAATTCAAGTTAAGTTATTTCTGTATCTTATTTTACTTTCCGATAATCATTTCATGCCTATGCTAATACCAGCGTTTTATTAATGTTACATCTTACAGCCTTTCTAGGCGGGTTTTGACCTGACTAGAGTTCCATTCTGATCCCCTGCTACATTCCACCAGAATTAACTCAGCACCAGCTAATTCCTGTTCCATATCATCTTCTATTATTCCATTTATAACTTCAGCCTTCTGACCAATTTCACAGAGTCACAGTAGGGCATGCTCCCTGCTATAATCTTTTTATATTTCGCTATTCCTGTCCAGGGAGACAGTTTAGTTATGCCCTACTGTGTCCTTCCCAAGGGTACCACATAGCCATTTGATAGCACTTAATAGATAGACATGTTCCTTCTTTATATTCTATACAATCATTGTCTTTGCTGATGTAATTTACAAATATATTTCTGGGGGGTTTTTTAAAAGCCCTGTTGTGATGCAACAGTAGAAAAGTGAGCTTTTCAACACAACAGACAAAAGTTATCCCAGTCATCTTTTAAAGCCTAAAATATTTGTATTTGCTACAATGTTGCATTTTTCAATTTTATATGGTATGCCACAGTTATATACATACAGAAATGGTGTGTATATATAATTAATAAAATACTTTTTCTTTAGGAATAAAATGTCAAAAAGGAGTGTTAATGTAACAGAAACATCATTGCAGTTCACAGACCTGGAAAATAACTATGAGTATAGTGCTTACCTAACAGCCAGTACCAGATTTGGCGATGGCAACATAAAAAGTGATACTGTAACATTCAGAACTTCTGAAGGAGGTAAGCTTATATATAGTATGAAACTTTAATTTCATTCAGCCTTACATTTCTGTCAGCCTTATTTATGTTAATAAAGCTGCTGAAGTAGAAGTTGCATTTGACTCTTCAATAAGAGATATTCTACCTGTCTGTATCTTTGTGTATACCTGTATCTATGACTCTATGAAATTATGATGAGTATTTCTGTTAATTTACTGCACAAAACTTTGCATTTCCCTTCAGAACAGGTAAGATTGAAATAATGTAATTTTATATTTTGAAATAAATTAATTTTATAACATATTTTAATAGCTTTTTGTTTTATCTTGCTGTGACACAGCTTCTAATAGAGAAAATACTCTTTAGAGTCTCTCTCACAAGTCTGAAATGGCTTTAATTTGAAAGTGAACTCAGTAAGTGTACACTGATTTTTTTTATTCTATTTTAATAATTTTATACTTTCAACATGGTTGATGACTTTTATAAACGATCATACTATATAATATGCTTTGAAAGTCATTCAGTTTAATTATTGTTTCTGGTTTTCCCATCAATTATATTGCTACGATCTGTTCCAAAATGGATAGTATGCAGACATATTTCAGAATCATCCTGCATAGATAAACTGACTTCCCAAGATACAATCACTGGCAGGATTAGTGTCCTTCAAAGCCATCCCTCAAAAGACTCTATAAATCCTCAGGTTGTAGGTATTCCCAGTCTTTGTTATTGAAGCTGTTATGGAAACATGAACTGACTTTTTAGGGTAGGATTTTTAGGAACTGATCCTGGAGTTCCCCCTCCAATTAAAATGTTAGTATTTTATACAAACTAGAACAACACAAAGCAAGAGAGATAAGATAACTTACAGTGTTCAGTACTCTACTGAATGTTGTGTAGAGCACTTCCTTGGATGGTGAGAAATATGGATTTAAATTCTCTTAAGCTGACTTAAGGAACTGAATTTGACTCTCCTATATCACTGTGCTACTGAGAAGGACCATATGCTGTATTCTTTACAGGATAGGAGGAGAGCCTAACTGAAGAAGACTCAGAGTCCTTCCTGCACATTTAATGGGCTGGGGAAAGAGGAAAAGAAACAGAATTGATCATACTGTACAAGCTTAAGCGTCTGGTTTACCTACATGAGTCAGGAGCCTAAATTCTGTTTAAAAATCAACAAAGAGAGAACAAGGCTTTTAATTTAGGTTTTCTCAAACAAATCCTTTTTTTTTTCCCATATTAACTCTATATGAAGCATAGAGGCCTAACTCTGTCAGCTTCCATGTCTGCAAATTAAACTCTCCATGTACCCAAACTAGTACGTACAGGACTAATTCTATAAGAAAAGAGTGCCAAATGCAGCTAAAAACAAATGTGTCTGAAAAAAATAGGGGTTTAAAAACTTTTTTATGTCTAATATTTTATGACATCATTTCCAGAAGAAGTTTTTATACCATAATCAGAAATACATTTAGTTTGACATAGGATGTTGTCAAATCTATAGTGAATGTTTCTTGGGTACTAAAATGTACAAAACCTTGAGTTAGGTATGCTAAAACTTTACCTTTTTCCAGCACCAAGTGATCCACCGAAAGATGTTGCATACAGAAACCTTACTTCCACATCAATACTGTTATTCTGGTCTCCTCCTCAAAAGCCTAATGGAAATATACTGAACTACTCAGTTTATTTAAAAAATAATTCAGGAATATTCATACAGGTAAGCTTATTTTTATATTTTTCCTTTGTAGAATTCAATAAAGTGTTGTAAGAATCCATTAAAGATTAAATAAATTTTATATTTATCAATATATACAATTTTCTTGTATTTCCTTTATCAAAAGGCAGTTTTTAAACTTATAAAGACAGAAGCATATCTTGTAATCATGTGTTGCATTGTACATCTCATTGGACATGCTTATCATTAAGCATTAAAGCAGATAGATTTTGTGTAATATTGCATATTGCAATGTTTATATATACATGTATAAATGCACACATACATGTAATACACATATATGCACAACACATGTAAACACAAGACCCCTCACATTCACTGTTTATTTTAGTCTGATTTGCCAATTTGAATAGATTTCTGTAACAGTTGTGGTTTTACTTTTTAATGCATGTTTGTAAGGTACGGAAAATAAGAAAATAATGTCAAAGTAGTGAATACATTATTATTTCATATTTTTGTTACTCTCAAAAGGAAATAACTGTTTAGCATATTGAAACTATTGAAATTCAATATACTGTTTAGTATATTGAAAAAGATACTGAGATTCCTAAATTAAAGCATAAAAACCAAATAAAATATAATTTATAATTTTTTGGTGGTCCACACATTTCCATGTATGTTTTTTTGTTGCTACTTTCATCCGTAATTACGCATATTTAATAATTGTATGTATAGTTTTTCTGTTCTCCTTTCTAAGAATATATTATGATACAGAAATTAATAAGAAGAAATAAGCTTCCTTTGCAGGATTTTGGTTACAAGTTTTCACATGTGGAAGAAAAGAAAGAAATACAAATTAAAGAAGAAACTAATGCATGAAAAATTACCTCTACTGCCTAAGTTTATGCTCAAGATATGTCTAGTGTGAGGTATGCATGAGTTTGAGGATAACTAGAAAAAAATATTGTCAAATTTTACAAATACCAGTGACTGAATAATTGCTGACATACTTCAGTGTATACACTTCTCTGACTTCTGTGAAGCTGTGTGGTTGCCAGGCTCTGTCTGCATAGTTTCAGATGCAAGCAGGACTGTGCCATGAATTCACATTCTGCTGGGATTAAAATCAGGGCTACAGTTCAGAGCTTCAGCCTCTGCTTGCACACACTGCTATACCAACAACATTTTTCTTAGCCTGACAAATCCCTGCAGAAACCTTTACACCAGTGCATTGCCTGAACTAGTCCATCCTATGAAGAGTGTCGACATTTATCAAACTCTTGGACAACTCACGCGATTTTAGAGGAGGACTACGGACTTGGGCTATTCCTGCCTTTAGGAAGGTGGAACTCTGAGGTGAATGAGTAAGGTGAATCTGGTACAGAGAGCTATAATCCCTCTGGATGTGCCCAAGACTCTGGAAATGAAGGAGCAAGATAGGGAAGATGGAGCACAGTAGCATTGGTCCAGCAAGGTGAGGGTGCAGTTTCATTATTGTGTGATGTAGCTGGGCAAGGACAGGATGGTAGCATGGGTGGAAGTTACTGCCGCTTTGGCATATTATGTGGCGGATGACAGAAAAGCGCTGACAGTAGCTTCACTTCTAAGTGTGGAAACAACCATTTTCACTCTTTCAGCTCTGAATTTTAACCCATCCCTCTGCAGAAAGCTATGAAAAGACAGGCTTCAGCTGCTGTTGCATCTGTTTCTTACTGGCCATGGGAGATCACCATTAATCTCTCAAATCATGATCCACTCCTAATCTGTCTCCTTCCTTTAACTCCCTCTGCCCTTCACATGCCTCTCTGTTCACTATCTGGCATGGCAACTACTGTATCTACATTGCACTCCTATTCTGTACCTTGGAATTCCTGTAGGTGCAAGACATTTCAGATAGGAGGAAAAAACCAAACTCTCCCCTACTCCCTTCTGTCAGATATTTTATATTACTCTTTTTACAACAAAGAAGTGCATGTGTGAAAACCAGCCTGATATGTGTATATATATATTATACATATATGGTGTATACAGACAGTTGTAAGCTGTGAGTATATGTACACATACAGCTTACAACTGCCTGTAACTTAGAAGTATAACCATATAGTTGCAGGGTCTGTTGGTAAATTATGTATTGCACACATTTAGAAATAAATAATCCTCTGTTGGAATGTTGTCAGTCTGGGTCACCATTCTGCTTATGTTTATCTGAACTGGATTTTCAGTTTGGGAAATGATACAGGAGAATTAAAAAAAGTAGGTGATCTTTTCACATTTCTGGGAATCCCACCTTCTCAGACATACTGCTGTAGGCAGTCATTCTCTGCCAGTCTTTTATCTGCTTCTTTGTCAGGACATAACAACAGAGGTCCAAGTCTTAAAGCATATCCTCTAGATGCCTGAAATGCAACCTGACTGAAGAATCGCAAGCTAATTAACACCTTCCAATGCTGTCATAATCTGAACTAGATATAAAAGTCATACTAAAACTACTGCTATTCTGTTGTCTTGAGTTGTCACTTCTCCTCACATGTTCTCAAAATCCTCAGACATAATAAAACCTAATGGAAATAAAGTACTGATTATGAATAGCAGTGTTAAAAACTGGAAATTAGTAGTTGCAGTGTAAAGCATTTTGTTTATGGGAGAAAAAAAAAAAAGACTTGAGATAAAAGGTGCTGTTTACTCCTTAACATGATGTAGAAACTTGCAGGAAAAATAGTTTTTCTTTAAAAAGAAAAAAAACCCCAGAGTTACATACTTTCATAGGGCAGAAAAACAGTGTATAGTTACTTTGCTTTACAGGTCTAAATGAAAAATCACAATGTGCCTGTCTGGTCAGAAGGCCTGGGTTGCTCAGACCTAGGATTCAAAACCAGAAGAGCAGAAGGAAAAATTTAGTGATGGAGATTAGATTTGAGGATTTTGGTAGATGAGTGGGCTGTTTCTATGGTCATGCTGACAGATTGTAAAAGAAAAGGTGTCAGGAATGACTGGTAGCCAAATAGAAGAAACCATCACTTGCACTAAGTTAGGTTCAAGTTCAGCTTTATCTTTTGTCTTCTGCTGCCATATGTCTAGGGAAAATGCTACTTTTTGGTTTATGTTCACTACTCTGCCCCAGTGCAGTAAAGATACGGCATGTATCATGACAAAGGGCACTTCTTACACAGATGATATGACACTACACCTTTTGCTCTCTGTGACACTTCTGGATTCCTACAGCTTGAGCTTTCACTTTTTGCAATAGCAGCTTTGCTATTTTGCTCTGTGGTTTCCTTACATCATGCTTGAAGCAATCATACTGCCCATGTTCTCAGTCTTCTCCAGGAAAGAAGTCAAAGAATCTATGGAAGTAATTGTTTCATTGCTAAAATTGTTTCATAGATCTCATTGATCTATGAGAGATACTATTTACCTGAATAAACTCTTTTATTTAATCTCTCTATACTTGTGTTTGATTAGCAAGAAAGCGTGAAAGGTGTTAACTGCAAATATAAATCTATGCTTGGAGAAAGTTCTCCTGTGTAGGAGAGCTGTCCTGCTCTGCCAAACCAGACAGGGGAACCAGGAGCTAAGCAGAAAAAAGAAGCCCACCACCCTTCTAAAGACTGAACCTTAGGCCCTAAATCATCCAAACCCTATACTTCAAGCCAACCTAAGTGAACATGAGTGGGCACAGTTCAGAATGAAATTTGGCTTGGTCCACCCTGAGGATGCAGACAAGGGATGCAAGCAATGTACTATATTAACAATCAAACCTTTTCTCTCACCATTTTGAAGAAAATAGGGTTAAAAGGGGAACTTCCTTAAAATACACTGCAAATTTTTTAAAAAGATAGCCTCTGACTGGTACAGCACAAAAAAAGGAAATATCTTCACTTAGGTTGGTACTAGAACAGTGTGCATTACACTGCTTAAGGGATGGCTTGGATTAGCCCTCAGTGTCACCACTCTCACCTGACTGCCAGAGTCAAGTATGTGATACTCTAACTCAAGACAACAGTGCAATACAGTGAACCTAAAGAAGGAAATAGAACACAGGAAAAAGGTTAACAGTGAAGAACAGCAGCACTGTCTTGTCTGTATACAACTAATTATAGCTTTATGCCACTGGAAATTTCTGGCACTTCCTGAAGTGAAGAAGACACTACCTTCTGCTGACACTTTCATAGCCTGTGTATATTGCTTGCACTTAGCTGCTTTTAATAATCTGATACTTTGCTATGTCAAAACTTCTTTCATGTATGGATGAAGAAGGGGACAGAAGGAAGAATTTCTTCAGCTGTAGCCAAATATCCTAAGCTGTTTGCTTTCATCTGCAGCCACAGCTGATTGTAAAACTTCCTATAATGTTCAATCTGCAGAGTACAATTAGTGCAAATTTCATGTTCTCAGTTTGCACTGACTTAGATCTTTCATCTCTCTTACTCTTAAATGTGTGTTCGTTCTTTTCTAATATTTTTATCATATCAGAAGTTTCGGGTAGTTCTCATTCTTTAGGTTCCTCATACTAAAGGGACTACCTCCTAAAACAGTTTTTGTTGAACCACCAAAAAACTTGTTGTAGCATTCACATTGGTTCACCGAGTCCTTAACTGCCAAACAGCTGACTAAATTGTGAAGGTATGCTTATCAAACTAAGAGTTAGTTTTTCTCCCATTCACACCAATTAACTCCCATTAAATCTAGAATCAAAACGTGATGTGGTAACTTTGATATTTTTACCTTCTGGGTCAGAAGGTATTTTCTGTCATACTGTGCTTGAGCATGAGAAAGTTTTATTAAATACCTTAGAATCTGATCCTCTTTTTCCTTTATCTTACCCTACCCAAATGTAAAGCAAAGCTCTTCCCAGGCTCTTTCAGATATTTACGTGAAAATACTGTGAGCTTCCATATATAATTAGAAGTCATATATTAAGGTGGAATTTCTTAGTATTTTGACTTATGCAGCTTCTGCTCTGCAATCAAAACAAAGGCTTACATTTTCATTGCCAAACAGTTTTCTTACTTATGTTACGTGAGCAGTAGTGACTGTATGCAAAACTAGATCTTCAGATGTTGGTATAAAAATCTCAGGGAAATGAATGACAGTGTCTCCTATTGTTTTCTGCTGAAAGAAAATAATTTTGCCTGTACAAAAAAATTGGTCAAGTGTTATGTTAGATATTTAAATCGACACATATTACTGACAGACTTAAAGACTGCATACTGAACTATCAGTTTGCACAGTACTGACTCAAGTGTTTGATAGAGCGTGTAACAGTGACTTCTTCAGTAGGAACTTTCTTCAAGAGAAATATAACCCATTGTCTAGTATGCAGTTTTAGTATACCTGTGTTTATATGTGGTATTTATGAATTCAAGTATGCAAGCATTACAGTCACCTTCCTCCTGGTTTAGTAAGTCTGGTATCTCAGACTCTTTTTTGTACGAAAATGTTTAATTTGAAGCCAGTTTTTATTTTAAGGAGATGGAGGATGAAAATAACTTGTAACACCAAAAATAGTGGGCAGGCCAAATAACTGGAATATGTACTAGGCAATTCATCAGGAGGTTGGGCAAAATTCAACTCACCGTGAAAATGTTGCTATGTAGAAAAATTAGGAGGACTTCTTTGGTCCTGAGAAGTGCTGCCTATGCCATCTGCTCAACGGGGCAATGTGACTGCTGGAGAGGAATGATACTGACTCTTTGAATCAGGAGCAAAGCTTTGACTTCCTACCCAGTGCTGGAGCTGAATATGCTTATGGGGTACACAACCTCTCAACAGTTTTCAAATCATGAACCAAACTGCTTTGGATCACCTAAGTCAGGTTCCTGTAAAGCAGTGAGTGATTTGACACATTCAGTTATGTGGTATAGCTGACTTTACATAAACATTCTAATTTTTTTTTCTCTTTTCAGTTTCAAAAATAGTTCATTCCAAACAGGAATAGCCTCCTCAGTGAGGCTGATATAGAGCACTGATCTATTGCAACAGTCACAGTTTTAGTGGAATTTTTAATATAAGTCAAAAGGAAGTGGGACTAGGTTCTAGTGCAGTCCTTCTGTTAGCAAGTAACTGCACAAGGAAAAGAAATTCTGTTGGTTCCTTCAGTTTAACACAATCCACTAAGTATATAGATGTTTGCATTAGAAATAATGACATGTTTTTAATGGAAAGGACAACTAACAAAAGGAGCAGTTTATCAAGTGTTGCAGTGAGATCTCTGCCACTGCAAGTTTTAAATTAAAAAATCCAACAATCTTCTGTAAGGTCTACTCTCATAAAAATTGAATAAACTGACAGAAGTCCTTTGATTTGCTGCATGCAGAGCAGGCAAGGCAATTACATGTGTAGTCATGTAATCTATGAACAATTAGCAGATTATACTTTTTTATTATTTTCTTGATGCAATATGGATAAACATATTGTAATGTCCCAGATTTAATGTGTTTTAAGAAAAGATGGATTGGTATTCAACAACTACAAACAACAGGAGGAGTCAGTTAGTACTCTGTAGTACTTACAAGCAGTAAAAATAGAGATCATACTATAAATTGTTTGAGTACTTCAGTAAAAATCAATACTTATTAAGAGTCAAAATGTAGGTTTATGTCTCCTGAACATGATGGGGAATCTTATTTCTTGGTGGTGGTGATGGCCAAATGGGAAACCAGAAAAAGAAATCAATGAATAAATAATGTTTTCGATGACACTTTTTTTTTTCTTTAGAATTTCACGAGTTATGGTAACGATAGCGAGGTCAATATGCCCCAGTCTGCAGTTCTGGATGATATGGAAAAATACAGCCATTATACTCTATGGTTAACTGCAAGCACAGCTTTTGGAGATGGAAACAAAACCAGTGAAATAATAGATGTGTATACAGATCAGGATAGTAAGTTAATAACTTTTTTCATGTTCAGTGCTTTCATTTATTAAATATTTTCTAACTTTAAAATTATTTTACTGTACAACAGCAAAGTTAAAAAAAATCCATTAAGTACTCTTTTCAACATTACAGTATTTTTCTTTGTGAGGAAGTTGTTTTGATCTGAGTCTTTGTTTTGTAATACTAAGAACGTAGTTCACAACCTGCTTCTTTGGATATGAGCAATGAAAATACTGTCTTAAACCATCATTAAGAGTCTTTTATTGACCAAATTAAAAATGTATTATTATTCATATATGCCTTCAAAATATTTTGCTTTTGATAGGGAAACATAAATGATATTTAAAAGTTGCACAAAGTATTACAAATGAAATTTGTGAGCTAATCATATTTCAGGAGTTTAGTTCTGTTTTGTTTTTAGATTCTTTATTAGTGTAATCCATGCATTTATTTTTTTTTCTTATTATCTCTCATAGTCCCAGATGGTTCTGTTGAAAATCTGGTCTATCAAAACATTTCCTCGTCTTCTGTAAATGTAAGCTGGCTTCCACCATCCCGGCCAAATGGCTTAGTCTTCTTTCATGTTTCTCTAAGTTCATTGCAACTGGGAATCAATAAGATAATGTCTTTCCTTACTTACAACACAAGCATAATTTTTGACAATCTGGAGAAATATACTGATTACATTTTGAAAATCACACCAGCCACTGATAAAGGATCTTCCGAACTGCATGCTCTATATCTGCATATAAGAACTGATGAAGATGGTAAGATATTTTATTAATTCCTAAGGAAATGTAGGTAAAAAAAACCAAACCAAAACAACAAACAAATAGCTTTCTAAAAGAAAGTATTATTGTGTTTATTTTTCTCATGTTACTTAAAGTTTATTATACAATGACACAAACAACTGTTACAGATTTCTGTGTTGAGACCATGAAATAGAGTTTTCCGCTCAGAGTACAACTTGAACTGACCTAAAAGACATTTTTCATTGTAACTTATATATTTCTGAGGTTATCCTTGTTTTTATCTTTCTTATTTCTTCCCATAGTCCCAGAATCAGCGCCTATAATCAAAACATTTTCCAATCTTTCAACTACCTCAGTTATGCTTTCATGGGACCCTCCTGTTAAGCCAAGTGGTATTATAATAAGATATGATTTGAATTTATTTGGGCCAGAAAGGAATAACTCTTTCTCTACCACCAATAATTCTATCATCTTGGAAGACCTTCTACCATTCACATTATACAGCATTTATGTAACTGCAAGAACAATAAAAGGACCTGGTCCATCTGCCATGCTTCAGTTCTACACAGATGAGTCAGGTGAGCAAATTCAATTGTAATCCACTTTGAAATTTTGGCCTGATATTACTGCATCCACCTTAGATCTGAACATCAGACCTGAGAGAGTTAAGAAGAAAGATTAATTTTCCATTGGTCTGTGCGTGAAGACCTTTCAGAAGAAGGAAATACTACAGAGGAAGTCTTTTCTGAGTTTTCTCCTCCCACCACAGTGTGCAAGAGGAGGTTGCGTTCTGCGTAGGATTACAAAAATAACTCCAAGGAGAAATGTCTTTTGCCTTTGGAATGTGTTATGGTTTGCCAAGTGTCAGGGATTTTGAAGCAAGCAACAAAACCTTTCTCATCTTTCCCCCACATAATTGAAAAATGACAAAACATCATGTTCCAGTAATATATGTAATATAACTTTTGTTAAATGCCTTAGTTCTGACAATGGAGATGTTTAAGTGATTAATAGTTATTTTTTAGCTCTCTAAGAAGATCCCTTACTAACTAAATATGTATTCCTAATTAATGGAATTTGTTTCATGCCAAAAAGAAAGGAAAAGATTAAAATAGCAATGAATTACTGTTGTGTTGAGTTCAGATAAAAATGGTAACAAAGGTACATATGTTCTCCTGCTTCTCCAAAGTGTTTGGTTTTGCCTGGATTATTTGTAATTTGGAACTCAAGACTGTTTCTCTTTTGCAGTGCCATTAGCTCCACCCCAGAATTTGACCATTACCAACTACACTGCAGATTCTGTGTGGCTAAAATGGGATCCAAGTCCTCAGCCAAATGGTGTTATTATGAGATATAATTTTAAGATTTATCAAAACAACACTGAAAAATTATTTTATCAGGTATGTTTATAATTAACAGTGTTTAATTTGGGGGGAGGGAGGTAGAGAAATACTTTTTTCATGCTTTAGGAACAAAATACATGGAAAATATTTTAAATGTCTATTATGCTCCTAGAATTATGAAGCTCCTGTTTGCTAAGATAGTTTACTTACCCCCCCATTGTATCTGTAATTCAATTTTTAAAATGAGATAGAAAAAAATTGTTAGATTTTAATTTGCTTTGAGGTTCTCATATTTCATTAATGATGAACTTCATTAATCTTGACTTCATATTTCAGTGTGACGTTAGAAAATTACAGAAGTTACTTGTTTTGTGACTACTATCGTTTAGCTATTTAGTATCTGTGGACTTTTAAGATTCAAAAAGAAGGACATTCCTGGTCATCTTGAAAAATGGTTAAAAACTGTTTAGAGGTTTACATTTTTTCATTTTTTCAGAATATGAATAACTGAATAATTTTTAACTGAAATAGATGTTGTAAAATTATATTTAAAAAATGGATCAAGGCATTTATATCTGCTTAAATCTGGTTGCTTGGATGGCATCAAGAAATGTGCCATGAACTCTAAAGGCAGCAAGCTAAGGTCAGGATTGCATCTTAGGTTTAGAAACTATATAGTGAGTTCTGTTCACCCAGGACCCTTGTAAAAGCTGCAGGTAAAAGGCATTGCTGCAGTGAGCTGTGAGTTTAAGACATATAGCATACAATATACGTGGGACTATGAGGAGCTCCATTACTCCAACTCCCTCAGCAATACAGTCTTTACTGAAGAGACTTAGCACGCAAGGAAAGCACTTGTGCTGTTGTAAAGCGTATGCATTGTGGAAATCCATCCCCATGGGGTGTCCTACTGTGCTACTCCCTATACATTCTGCTGTTATTCCCCATTGTGGAATAAAGTGCTGTCATCACCCCAGTATCTTCCATAATCCTTGGAAGAGGGAGAGCACAATGCACATACAGAAGCTGAACAGTGTTTTCCACAGCCAGCTGCCTTCGGAAATGCATTCTTTGGGTGTTCATGGAGGCCACCAAAGATTATTCCCCACTGTCCATCTGAGACAGACTCAAACTCAATGAGACTACCAAAACTGGCCAGAGCGCTTGCATGCATCTGCTATGCCTTAAATTTCTTCATGTTTTGTAATGTTATATGGGCAAGAAACTAGACTTAGGTTGTGGCAGCAAGACAGGCAGAGCAATTTATATAAAAATATTGTAATTAGGCACAATAATTCTCTGATAACTTGGATCTCACGAAATGTTCACCAGGTTTTCTTGCTGAAATTCTGGTCTTTCCAAGCTGCTATTATAGATAGTCCTCTCAACATTTGCACAAAACATACCTCTAAAGTAAAAGAAATGAGAAACTATGACCCATGACCTCTTCCACTACAGAGGTGTAGTAAGGAAATAGAAGGTGAGAGGGCAGTGATGTGGTGGTCTGGAGGTGAAAGAAGTTTTCAGTATTGGTAAAAAAGGATATATGTGGAGTTAATCTGTTCTAACAATGCTGTGGTGATTATGATACCATACTTTGGCATATCTTTCTCACAAGCTACAGTGAAAGAGGGAGAGGAGAAAGGAAATGAAAGGAAAAAATTGACGCTTCATTCTCTTTTATTGAGCTCAGGGAATACTTTAACTGAAAGCTGCTCTGAGTAGAAGAGATAAGACTATGGCTCTAAATCTTTTGTTCATTTCAGTGGGTTCAGGGTGAGGCCCACAATATTTACACAGATTAATTGCATACTAATAATTTTTCCTTCCTTAAGAACATTTCAGGTTCAAACCATGAGGCAAACCTTGTTGGACTAGAACCATTCAGCCCCTATTTTGTCAGTGTCTCTGCATTTACCAAGCTTGGGAATGGCAATCAGTTCAGTAATGCTGTCCAGTTTACAACAATGGAATCAGGTTAGACATGACTTTTTCTAAGCTGCAGTTCTGTTTTTATATATATTTTCCTTGTATGACTGAACAACGGTCTTCCTCTTCTCTCCAAAGAAAATGTAACATAACACTATCGCATTGTCTCTGCCTGTGTAATACCAATTCATATTCCTATTGTACCAGACAGGCTGGGTTTGAAGTTTGTTGTCGGAAGTGTAGAATTAGAAATGTCCTCATCTGAAATGAGAGGCTTATATGGCTACTTTAAATCCTTTAATAGCATCACAGATAAAGGGAGGAAAATTAGATAGATATCAGCCTTTGTAGATCAAAGCAATAATTCAGATCCCTGTGAAAATAACTGAAACTTTAGCAGTATCAAAAGCAGCTGGACAAAAGATTGGCAAATGAACTGGAAATTGTATTAAACAAATATAAATTTTTAACATTTTTTGTAATTTATTTTAGGAAGGGAAGCTATCCACTAATTAAATATTCTAATTTCTTAGATCTTATTCTTCCTGACAGCTGGGGAGGACTGTGCAGTATAGCTGGCTTAATTAATCAGTTATGTACAGTTTTGTCTTGTGCCTTCTACATACTTTTTGAAGTTGCAGGTTGTTTCAAAACGGAAAATCGTATCACTTGAAAGTGAATATTCAACATTCACTAAAGAGAGCTGAGGAGTCTGTGGGTTTGTGAAACTGGCCTTTGTGCAAAGCTGTAGCTCCTTTGCCTGGTCAGAGCAATACCCAGACTCATGTACTTTATGTCAGTGCCAGGGGACTAGCATGGCTTAGGGGGCTGTGTCCGATCCCCCAGGTTCCTTTATACTGACAGCAAAGGGAGCAGATGAGGTATCGAAAAGATCCAATATGGTGACTACAGAGAAAACCACACTTCCAGTGAAATATTCTTTCCAAAGCTGATAAAACAGGGGTTCTGGGAAAAATTATACTCTTTTTGTACCCAGCAGTTACAACCTGTGAGAAATCTGGACCATCACTGAACTGGTTCAAGTTGGTTGTTGGATCCCTGCAGCTAGACAATGTCCTACCTAAGAGCCATGGTTCTCCATCAGTTGTCTCATTTCACCACTGACATTCCATACTCATGGTACTTTCTTCAGAAGTGCTGGAAAGACATTGCCCACAGGAGCATGGTCTAGTCATTTTACAGCTTTTTCCTCAGATTTTATGCTCAGCTAATGCAGCATTGTTTCGTTTCCCTCCAACCTAGATTTTGGACAATTGCTGGATCAGTTCTTCACTGAGTTCATCTAATGATTCTGTCTCTAGTCTTTATTAAGAAGGGCCAGTTAATCTTCTTTCTTCTGCACGTGCTGCTTTTTTTTTAAAAAAAACCCCATTTTTCTTTGAACTATGAAAAGAAAACTAATAATTTTAAAGATATTCATTTACCTCTGTGCAGTGGTAATGAGCATGTTTCCCTCTATTTCTGGTACCTCACTGATAGTCTTTTGACAATTTTATGGATTCCTGGACATGTTTCAGTAGAGGAAATAGGTTGCAGCACCCTCATTTTCTCTTAGCTGCTATAGCCCTTTCTGAGATACTTTAATTCATTGTTCTAATTAGCCAATTGTTCACAGATAATGCTCTATTTTTAGTATAAGTATAATATCTGCTACCTTTTCTTAAATTTTTATGAGCTTTTAAAAAAAATTTCTCCTGCTGGAGGCAGCAAGGAGGTGGGGAACAGTAAGTTAATAACATTGATATGACAGCTCTGAAACCTGCCCAATGACTTCTGTGCAGGTCATGCCTCTGCTGAAAGGATAGAGGTATGATACAGTGCCTAAAAGAAACAAAGCTAACATAAATAAGGAAATCCTACTGTTGATATTGTTGTGGAATATGTATATGGGTTTCACACTACTGTATAAGTTTTACTACACTTTGATTAAAAAAACATGGGGAAAATATGAGCAGATGTGAAAATAAAGTTGGAGCACACAACTAGGAAAAAGTCAGATAGATGGCCTCTTCTGTTCCAAGTACTAGCATTAGTCATGTTCATAGTAGTTGGAAATGAACCATCTAATGAGCACAGAAACATATTTTTATTCTGTCAGTATGTTTCTTTTATCATTTTTTCTGCCACTGGAATGTTTGACCCTCACTATGAACGTTGGGTCTGTTTCTCTGACTATATTGTTCTGTGATTGCCATTTTAATTGTTGGGAAATGTTAATCTTTGGTGTATGTGTATCTTTTAAGTACCAGATGCTGTGCAGAATGTTCACTGTGTTGCAACGAGTTGGCAATCGATTCTAGTGCAGTGGGACCCTCCTACTTCATCCAACGGTATAATTACTCATTACATCATAACAGTTGAAGGAAATTCTACAAGCTTTTCACCTTATGATACACTGCATAATTTTAGAAATCTGCTTTCCAATACTACTTACCAATTTAAAATAAAAGCTGCAACATCTGCCGGTGATGGTGAAGAACAGATATGCAATACCAGTACTCTTCCAGAAAAAGGTAAAATATTACTAAAATTATTAATTTCTTTACTTTAAATGATGAGTATGAAACAAGCAAACCTGAAATATCTGCTTTAATTCAGGCAACATCCTTCTGTTTAAATTTCTTGCAAGCAGTGGATGAGGAGAAACAGGGCTTACTCTTTCTCCTGTTTTAGAATACACTTGGTGATGAGAATTAATTGCCATTTGAAAAAAGCACGAAATACCTTTTTCTGTGTTGAGTTTGAATGGTTATTTTATTCATTTCTTATCATCTATTATTTTTTATTTTATAATCTCTGCTTTGTTCCTGGTGCTCTTAGGATATTTGATATTGTAAGTCCAAAAGAATTTTGGGGAGCAAAATTTTTGTTGTTTGGTTTCTACCAGCAGCCAGTGCTATGATGTCGTTGATTGACAATAAAGCTGTTCAGAATTTGTGCAATTGAAAAGAATTTAACTTCTTCAAGCAGACTTTGTCATAACTCTTGACGAATAAGATATTTTAACAGGAAAGAAAGTTGTGAGCTAAAGCCAAAGAAGGATGTAGGCAATTTTTTTGGCATTGGAGTAAAAAAAAAAAAAAAAAAAAAAAAAAAAAGGTAATCAAAGTCTGTCTTCCTTTCTTTCTCCATGCATGCTTCATGCTTCACCTAATCCTGATTGTGTTTTCATTTGGCACCTGAAACTCAGAGATGAAATTCTGTGCAGAATTCAGCATTGCTTCTGTGTAAATAGCTATGTGCTTAGCTTCCAAAGTGAAAGTAGAGTGGAGGCCAGCTCCCAGTTCAGGAGGCAAATGTGTGTTTCATTTCTCTGCCCCAGTTAGTGATGATTTCTACTCTTGGGATTATATCTCTTATTCTTTTTTTCTTCAGTGATAGTTTAATATAAAATATAAAAATAATGTTCAGTGAGCAGGATCCAGAAAAAACTTCACCTTCCTACTGAATTACAGGAGCAATTACTGCATTTAGTTGCTTTTTTTGTTTCCTCTTCAGTGACATAAATTCATGCAGTGGAGTTGAGGAGCTCTCTAATTCAGAACAGCTGGATTATTATGAACCATGGGGTGGGATGGGGAGGGTATAACTGAATCCCCTGATGCTTAGAAACCAAACATAGCTTTTGTAATACTTTAAATACTAAGTTATTGAATAACTTAAAAGATGAGTTGCAGCATTCATTCTCTTATATATTTCAACTGAAAGAGTGAGTTTTACTCAGTTCTGTCAAATAAAAGGTACAAGAGTCTATGTCAGCAACAGGGTTTAGGTTTTGGATGACAAATGGAGGGGTCAGTTCTATTATGCAGAATTGAATCAGATATCTAAACTTGGAGATCAGACTTACCCTTATCCTTAGACCTCCTGTTGGTAGCTTCCTGAGCGGCATGCACCTCTTTAGGTTCAGCCTTTGGATCTCTCGTATTCATAAAGCTTTAGTGCCCCACTCTGAGCTGTGATTTTCACATTTCTTAAAATTAACCTTGCTGATGTGCAAGTCTGAATGAATCTAGACCATATCTGTATTGTCAACTGAACTACTGCTGCTTTGGATCTGGATCAAATGGCTGAGTAACAAATGAAGTCAAGCAGAGCAGGCCCTTGCTGGCATAACGCAGCCAACATTGTGAAAATAGCTAGGTTTGTACTTTGATGACTGCCCCTCCTCGTAATATGGTCCATCTCACTAAAGTCTGACCCCATCCTATATTTGAACAATGAAGTAACATATGCATACCTGTCCTCTCTAAATTGGCTTCCTCATCAACAACACCTCCCCTACAAGTTCTGCCTTTTTCTGATTCCTGTTTTTCTGCTGGTCCCCACCTGTCCAGCTCCTTAGCAATTTAAGACTTCTCCCTGGGTCATCCACCCTCTTGTTTGCTCAGAAAATCCTGTCCATCAACAGGCTGAAAATCTGCTTTTGGAGGAAGTATTATTGTTTAAATATTAGAGATGAGCATACTCATATTTTACAGCAGTGGCTGGAAATACTGTAGTGAGGTTAACTGTTGTGCTGAATGTGGATATGTGAGATTGTGCACCTAAGTACACTCCTCAACTGTAGTTTTTAACTCTTCACCTTTTCTTTTAAATCAGAGCTGCTGAACAGCCAGCCCTGACTCAGAGCTGGAATAAAACTAAAACTGAAGCCTGAAGGTTTTGGAGATAGTCTTACAAGAGGCACATTACCCATAGGTGCAGAGGGGAGCAGGAAGCTTCCCAGGGACCTAATTTCTTGGAGGATGGGGGAAAGGCTTCTAGTAGTGTCAAAGAAGCCTGGTACCTGGGAAAATTAGTTGTTGGGATTTCTGAGAAATTGGGTTGGCTATTAATTAGTGCTTGAGGAAAGCCTGGGGAGGCTGTGGATATGGTATTAAGCCTGGGCTTGAGAAACAGACTGCTAGTCATTGTGGCCAATGTTACATAGAGTTGTACTAGCAGATTTTATTTGTAACAACACGTGGCTTATGTGGCTTGTCACTAAGAGTTTTCCTGAGTGAAGGATTTATACTACAAGACATGTATTTTTTTTGCCACTGTGCAAACTTTTTCTTGCTGTTTTAGCATTGGCTTACATGTTGCTGCTTAGTCATATTTACAACAAACTAGTTATTATTAGGACATTTCCTTAACTGTGTGTTTGCATGAATAGTTTTGTGGTGACTGTGTACTAGGAACTGGAGATTCATGGTTGGGAATGGAAATAGTTTTATAGCTGTTGTCAGCTTCTTATTTATGATGGTCTGAGATTAGTCACAGAATATGTAGCCAGCACTGAGTCACTGACAATGCATTTATTTCTGACATAAAATGCAATCAAATTTGGTTCAGTGTCTTACTGCATAATGTTTGACCTTTACATTCTTAGCAAGACTGTTTGCCTTTTTTTGAGGTAAATTTATTCTTATCTGGGTACAATTAAACATGAATCATGAAGATTAAATTTATGAGGAGATTAGTAGTGTTTTGTGTCTAATCTAGCTCCATTATCATGGCAAACTGCTTCTGCCAGGTTGCAGGTTGTTATAAAAATTGTTTACTTTGTATTGGTAATAGTACTTTGTGTTTAAATATATTATACAGATGATATAGCAAGTACACATGCACAAATTAGTTCAGATTTTATTACTTAATAGCTATTCCTAGATTATTTTAAAGAAAATATATATATTAAATGAAATTTCATTAAGGTTGAGGGAACTTTTAGAAGGGCAAAAGAGCAATAAAAGGATAGGAAACTTCTCCAACAGGCACACTAAAACTGTGAAGATTCAGTTAAACCACAGGTCAGGGACAAGTATAATAGTCATTCAGTGTAGAATAAAAATAAAACAATTAAAAAGCCACTTGGAGGGTTCAAAATATAAATAATAAAAAGAAAACTGCTACTGCTTTCTATTTTTTTAAGATAGATTTTTCTTCAGAGCCTTTTTATTCTTCTCTGAAAATATTTATCATATTGATTATAGTATTAAGACATGCAGAGTAATTTTTTCCCCCTTACCGCTAGTCCTACTTAGTACTATAACTGAACATAGATTATTGTAAAATGTTGAGGCCTCCATTGTACTGTGATGAGAGTCCTTACCATTTGTTTTCTACTAAACAGAGATTCATTCATAAATACATGATTCATACTACATTTAAAAGAGATATGGCTAGGAATTTGTCCAGGAAACATTTTTTAATTTAATCTGTGCTTAATTTTGCTGGCCGATACTAACTTGTAGCTATACAGAGAAGTATGCCTTGTGCATGAAGAAGAGTAGCGCCTGAAAAGTTTGGTGATGGGAAAGTTTCTTGGGCCTTTTGGTGTGGAGGTGGCAAATTATCATCATCTATTGTTACTTGTGCACAAAATGTCTTTACTCTCTGCACAGGGGAACCTTTAAAGATTTTGGGTTTGTACCTCCAGGATGGAGACGTTCATTGGAAAAAGGGGACCTTTTCTTCATCCAGGCCTGTGAGGAGCACAAAATGTAACATGGGCTTAAAACCTTCTTAATATCCAATTAAATGCTCTGTTTCCTTCACCATAAATCCTTTTCTTAGGACGTGGCAGCTCATGGTAGCAATATGAAATGGAGTTACATGAATTTCCACATTAACTGGTAAAGAGAACTACAGATGACCACAATGCACTGGAAGAAATATTTAAGTCCATTCCCTAAAGTGGTCCTTAGGGCCTACAGCATGACATGCAGTGCAGTGTTCAGTGCAGTATGTTGGCCTGGTTATCCAGAGGAATCAACTTGCTGCAGAGCAACAGCCCTGGAAACGGAAGAGTTTCAGAGTACTTGTCACTACTATAGATGAGAGCAGTGTGTTTCACATGCTGCAAGTTCACTTTTCCAAACTGTAATAAAGTAAAAGCATCCAAAAATTGCAGAGTGAATCATGACTAAGAATCTTTGAAACACTTCTTTCCGAGATGATTAAAAGATTATTTTTTTTACCAGATTTCTGTTTTTTTAATGGAACATGGATTTTTTTTAATTTTTTTTTTTAGATTTTCTGATTAGTTGATATGTCCAAATCTCGGTTAAAATGGCTTTTATGTTTATGGCAAATCTTTACTAAACAAATGCAATGATCGCTTTGTTGCTGCCAATGAAATTGCATTGATGTTATTTTTATAAGCAGTTAGATGAAAATAGAAGAATCATATCGTGTAGGATGAAAGAAATATTTTATAAGGACTAGGACAACTCTAGATTAATGTATAAGAAATGGTGGGGACATATGCATACAAAGCTTACATTGAAAGCATTTACAGGTCAAATAAATGTTTGCTGAAAAGTAAACAATGGTCCTGTTTGTCGGAAAACTGAGTGTTCTTAGTTAATTTCAGATTGGAGTACTAACAGCTTTTCACTACTTTTCTAAACTTAGCTTCAAGGTGTGCATTTCTCCTTAGATTTGTTGGATTTGATTTTTCAGTGCTCAGATCCCATAGCTTGAGGCTGAATTTTCTAATGTGCTAAGGACTAAGAGACACTAAGTCCAA